GGGGGGTTGCAGTCCAAATAAGGAGCACAGCCTAGGGTGATTTATATTGCACCTTCATAGATACAATTCTGTGAGTGATTGTTGTCACCCTAGAGCAGGAAGTGTTTTATTTGCAGGATCACCAGGTGAAAGAATAAAGGACATGCTTGGAAAACTAATGCAGCCACCACAAGGACTAATAAGCTGCAATATATCATTTTAGTTTAGTTATCTAATAATGTTAAATATTTTATTCCTGTGGATACAAGCTGAACACACTCCAGTTTAATTTCCCCGATCGCCTGTTTTCTTCCACCAGCCCAATAAGTCCTCTTTGTTTTTCAGGCAGCCGACGGCTTCCTGTTTGTGGTCGGATGCGACAGAGGAAAAATCCTTTTTGTGTCTGAATCGGTCTCGAAGACGCTGAAGTACAGCCAGGTACGTGATTGTGTGTGCCCCCATCCGCCACGTCACCTGACCTCCTTTCCTGCCCCACGAATCCCAACGCAGAGCCTTCCTGCGGGAAATTGTCACAGTAACCCAGAAATACAAGTGGATCTGTGAAAGCCTGTCCTAGTTTAAATCCGGGCGAGAGGCGCGGGGGTTCGTGGGGACATTGTTCTCGGCGGGGAGCTCTTCATCCAGCAAATCAATAGCAAGATGGGGGTCATTATCGGAAAATTAAAGTGAGATGGGGCTGTGACACATCGCGCCATTAATAGGTCACTAAGCACGCAACAAACGCTGATGTTATGTGAACCCGGAGCTGGTAGCATAAGCGGTTATAATTCACACTTGAGAATCTACACTTGAAATGTACCCACATCCCGGGGGGAAGCATTGTTTAAGTGGACCTGTCATTAAATTCACACGTCACATGAATTATTAGGACGCACATCAGCATTGGCAATTCACATTATTATTTTGAGTTAAAAAAAAAAGTTACTCTTTCTTGTGAAAATGTGAAAAAAAAGCGTCTAAACCTCCTGGTATAACCTAAAGCCTGGATAGAGATCACATACTCTATGACTACCACAAGCATTGTGGGCATTTCATGTCATTAGAGACTACAGAGAGTTTGCTGTTTTGAGTCTGGCAGATCATGTCTGGTAAACTTTACCATACACAGAAACATTAACACGAAAAGAATATTCACATTAAAGGGAAATTATAATGTACATGGGGCATTTTTGTAAGCTCATCCAGGCAAATATTGACCCACTCTTCCCCATGCATTTGCACATAAAAACAAAAATCCCAACTAACATCTTTTTTCCCCTTTTTTTTACTCTCCTGAGTCCACTGTCATGTGACCCTCTACGGAGCCTCTTCCATGGTAAGAGACTGGAGATCTAGTGCTGCCTGGGAGGATTATGCCAACAGACAGCAAATGGGAAGTGCCCATGTAACCCAGAAAGTGACATGAGCACCCAAAGTTGGACCCTTACCACAGTCCAAAAATAGAATACTTGGGACCCGGCTTTTTATGTGACAATGGATTCATGTTTGAAATATTTCTTTTTTTATTAAACCCAAAGGTTAGTTAGAGAGAGAGTTCAAGGCTAGTTCATGGGCATTAACTTTACGGTTTTACATGTTTTTTATATTACACATGTTCAATCTTAGGTTTTTTCAAATGAACATCTAAAACATGACAAAAGATTCTCAAAGCACCATGGGTGATGTAAATAGGCATATAATGCATGACAAAGGATTCCCAAAGCACTATGGGTTTTCTAAATAGGCAACACAGCGGACCTTGCTGTGCAGCTCCCTTTGTTTGATTGAAGCCTTTTGCTGAGCCGTTCCAATAAAGGAGGAGTTACAGATGTGATGATTGCTTTCAGAAAAGCTGATGTGATTGAAACTGCCCTGTGTGTATACAGCATCTGTCACTAATGACCTCTTACTCATACCTAACCCTAACTTAAAATTAACCTTCAACACTTAACGTTAAAATGTTAAACTCGCCCCCTGACCCTTAACCCTAAAATCCCAGACTTGCCTAACGATGAAATCCAGACACCAGTCTGGTCTAGTAATGTTTTGGGAGTCCAGCTCTGAGGGCAACTGTTAAAAAACCTTTATCAGTGGTGACGTGACATTGTGCTGCAGGAATTATTTGGATTGGTGCTCTTGGCAGTTTTTGTTTCTAGGGATAATTGAATTGTGTTCCGTGTCTCAGAGGAAATTGTAGTTCAGTTGCTGGATAGCTGATTTTTTTTGTGGCATTTTGAGATAATGAAGAATCACTAATTTCAGTATCTGCTCATGTACTCCAGTATCTGCTCATGTACTCCAGTGCACTTGCAGAGAGGTGTAAACCGCTACAGCAGTTACATTGTATCCAGCTAAAAAATCACCAGAGAACATAAGCTTAGGGGACTGAAACTTCTGTAGATCTCTGATACACAGTTGCTGGTGTGCTATGGCCCTAACTTATAAGTAGGGATGAGATCAGCTTTGATCTAAATCCAGAAGTTAGGCATCAGTGCACTCTCAATCAACTGCAGCCCGGGGCATTCCCCACCCTGCACCTGCATGTAAACAAAGGGGCGGGATGCTGGTGACATCATTGACCTTTTATATGGCTATATTAGCTCAATGTTATTGACCAAATATGGCCATGTGGCCGTATAAGGCCAGTGATATCGCCAGCATCCTGCCCCTTTGTTTATATGTGGCTTGGGGGGCCGGTAGCGTGCCAGCTGCAGCTGATTGACCTGTCACTGAAGCCTAACTTCCAGGTTCAGATCAAATTGTCAACGTCACAGCTGATTGGCACCAGGGCTGTCCCTATAGTGAGGCAGCCTGCGGGTGATGCGGGGGGGGGGGGGCCGGTATGCAGAGCAGTTTGCAGTTTTCCTGGCCGCCCCCTTTACAGCCAGAGCATCCCAGGTTGCTAAGAGCTGGGTGGGGAGATGCGTAAGAACCATACACGTCTCACTGCCCAGCTCTTGGCAACTTGGGATGCTCTGACCGGCCTCCCGCTCAGCTGCTGGCAACCAGTGATGTCACTGGGCGGGGAGATGATGCAGTGTGTTGGTGGTGGTGAAAATGCTAGGGATGCCTCTACTCCCAGCGCTGACAGCTTCCTTCCAGACTCAGGCTACCTCAAATTTGGACTGAAGCTCAATCAAACTCATGAGAAATGAATATAACAGAGACTTAATGTGAGGAAAGGATTGGAGGTAAGTGGATAGGCTGGGAGATGATGGGCGGAGCAATATCCTTCTGCAGTACAAAGTATTTCAGGAGATGATGATGGAATAAATAGATTCACCAACAGCACATAGTGTAATCAGATGCCGTTCGCATTTATTGATCATTCAGTGTAAATATCCATAATAGATATCATAACCCCGTGCATCATCCTCCATCATCCTCTTCCTCCTTCCCAGGCTGACCTGATAGGACAAAGTCTGTTCGACTATCTACATCCCAAGGATGTTGCCAAAGTAAAGGAACAGCTCTCCTCCTCGGACACCACCCCACGGGAAAAACTAATCGATGCCAAAAGTAAGTGAATGGTGACTGTAGCTTACGCGCTCATTTTTCAATTTTCCTACAGTTGTGATTAGTCTAGGAGAGTCACGTGACCATATGCAAAGGACACAGTGATGACACAAAGCGATTTAAAGAGATGCTCCAGGTAAATTTTTTACCAACCCTTGCAGGGGGCTCCCCTACACTGCAAGGGTTAAATGCTTGTTTCGGCCCAGGGCTAAAAATAACAAAGTTATACCGACGTGATCCTCTGAGCCGGCTTGCTTTTGGACCGGTCCCTGGAGCGTCTCTCCCCCTCCACAGCAGTGGTCCAAGGTCCATAAGTCATCACATTCTGTAGAGTGTGTATAGGAGGTGAGGATGCTGAGGGACATACCATCGCTACAGTGTAGGAGAAGACAGACTGGAGGGAGCGCTATTACAGCCAGCCGAAGGCGAGAATCAGAAGAGTAACTTTTGTTATTTTCAGTTCTAGACCAAAATGAGCAGTTAACCCTTGCAGTGCAGGGGTAGCCCCACTGCAAGGGTTAATAAAAAAATTTACCTGGAGTCTCTTTTTGGCAGTCCTTTGTCTGTCACACATTTTTTTTCTGGTTCAGACCTGCACAGCTATGACATGCTGATGAGGAGCATTGGCCACGTGTAGTTGCTATCTTTTTTTATTCCTTTTGTGGCTGACTCTAAGATGGGAACCACATGGACCTTTTTTGCCCATATGGGGTTGCAGCTTTTCCATTTTAGATGTAATTGGCGCTTTGTGGAGTTTATCTTTTAGCTGTGAAAGTTAAACTTCCCAAAAAAACCCCAAATTTTCACAACTTTCATTCGCTCTCAAGTTTGACGCTGTCTGCCTGTGGACTCCTCATCTGTCGCTTCCTGCTATAATAAAACTAAATGTCTTCCCTCATTAATCCAGATGTCATCTTTTGAACTGACACAGTCTTATTAAACTGTTTTGAAAGCTGGTTTGCAAGTGCACACACACTTTCAGGCTGGCTCTTACTGTCTCCACTGGGGTTCACGACGGTCGTTCTTCTGCCGCATGAGGACCGGCCATGTGTCCAACAAGGAGAAGGAGGAATTCCTTCATAGAGCCAAGAAAAAAGGTAGATCTTGTGTTTCTATAAGACACTTTATAACAATGAAAGCACAATAGAACTCATAACAGACGCTTTCCACTTTCAGGTTTAAAGCTGAACCCAGGACACAAAAACATTGATTTAAATATATTGCTTAATAGATACGAAGGATATTACTCACCTTTTGTGTGCACCAAATGCCTTGATATAAACCCACATATTACCTTGTAAAAGTAGCATTGACAACATCAATGTGCCGTACACAGCCTGTGTAGAGAGCAGAGCAGTGGAAGGGACCTAGCAGGCCTCACCCACTACAGGCTGCCTGGAGAAAACTGCAGGAGGGGGTGGATACAAGACCAGTCAGCACCATTATGTCAACATAATAATTGGTGCTCATTGGGAGAAGGACCCCCTTACATTTGTGCTCACTGGGGGAAGGCCCCCTAACACTGGTGTTCATTAGTTAAGCCCCCCCCCCCCCCTTACATTTGTGTTCAGTGGGAGAAGGCCCCCCTTACATTGGTGTTGATTGGGAGAAGGTCCTCCTTACATTGCTGCTCTTTGGAAGAAGGACCTTCCTGCATTGGTGCTTACTGGGATAAAGTACCCTTTACATTGGTGTTCATTAGGAGAAGGTCCCCTTTACATTGGTGTTTATTAGGAGAAGGTGCCTTTTACATTGGTGCTTATTGGGAGAAGGCCCCACTTTACATTGGTGTTCATTAGGAGAAGGTCCCCTTTACATTGGTCTTCATTAGGAGAAGGTCCTCTTTACATTGGTGATCATTGGGTGAAGGTCCTCCTTACATTGGTGTTCATTAGGAAAAGGTCCCTTCTAGATTGGTGCTTATTTGGAGAAGGCCACCCTTTACATTGGTGTTCATTGGGAGAAGGTTCTCCTTACATTGGTGCTCTTTGAAAGAAGGACCACCTTACATTGGTGCTCACTGGGAAAAAGATCTCACATGCATTGGTGCTCACTGGGAGACGGTTCCCTTTACATTGGTGCTTATTGGGAGAAGGTCCCCTTTACATTGGTGCTCATTGGGAGAAGGTCCCCTTTACATTGGTGCTCATTGGGAGAAGGTTCTCCTTACATTGGTGCTCATTGGGAGAAGGTCCCCCTAAGATTAATTTGTATTTGGAGAAGGACCCTCTTACATTGGTGCTCATTGGGAGAAGGTCCCCCCTTACATTGATGGTCAGTGAGAAGACTGCCCCATTACAATGACGGGCTCAGAGGAAAGCCAGTCCCTTACATTAATGGTCAGTGAAAGAAATGCTTTCCATATAGACAGCTAAAAAGTTCATTGGTATCCATATTTACTTCCCTGTGAGAGGATAGGGGAGATCCACTGGTGGCACACTACTGCCAAGAGAACGATACAGGCAACGCCAGTTAAGAAGTGAATCCTCAACTCAACAACGCCAAGGCACCAATTGTTGAGAAAGGCTGCCATAATAGTATAATTTAACTGGTACACTCTAACTTGCTTCTGATCATCTTGTTCACTTTGCAGAACACAGACGGTACTGTACCATCCACTGCACGGGCTACCTGCGCAACTGCCCGTCCAGCGAGGTTGGGATGAAAGAAGACAGCGACTCTGAAAAAGAGTCCTACAACCTCAGCTGCCTGGTGGCCATTGGGCGCCTCCACCCATACATCATGCCGCAGAGCACCGCCGATATTAGAGTCAAGCCTGCCGAGTTTGTCACCCGTTACACCATGGATGGTAAATTTGTTTATGTGGATCAACGGTAAGGACTGTCAATGGCTGACTTTCTCTTTCCTTCCTGTAACGTGTTGGGTTTTTGTTTTGTGATGTTATTAGTGGGAAGCTTTTGCTTTTATTAGTTTTTATTTACTGTTTGTGACATTTTAACTTAGATCTACTTTATTTTAGAGTAGAACTCTCATTTTGGATGTAGCCAGGAAGGGCTAGAATACCAGTTGGATTTTTAAAGCTGTCTGTGTGCACATTTTGGAGATTTCCCCATACCCCCTGTCTTGGCGACACATCCGAAAGTAAAAAAACATCCTTATTTGGGACACAGAGCAGCAAAAATCTGATAGTGGCTCAAAGTTCTGTCTAGAATAACATTGTATATTGTTGTGGTGGATCAGGGTGGAATTGGTGATGATTACATAGGAATTGCTTTTACAAAGTTTTCAATGCAGACTGCATGCACTATTTTTTGCGATCGCATCAGACTGGAACGCATGGTATTTTGGTACCACACGTTCCGGTGTGGGTGATCGCACTGTGGGCGGGGGGCATGCCTGTGGGCCATTGACATGAATGGCACCACCATGTCCCCTCCCGGCCCAGAACGCGGGGAGCCTTTGTTTATGCGATCCAGTGTGTTCATGGCATGGAACTGTGCCCTGAACGCATTGGATGGTGTGACAAAGCCCTCAAGGAGGTAATAGATATTTATTGCCTTCAGAGATTTTAAGACTTGTTTAGTTCTTGGTCTATTTTTCCTGCTATTTTTTTTTATATTGGGATTCTGCTGCTGCGAAAAGCAAACATGTAATAGTTTTTCTTCTTATCCTTTTGAGGGGCACAGGAAGTCTTTCAGCTTCAGGTTATACTGCAGCCTACAGGAGGATGGGACACTGGCAAAAAGCCTCTCTTTCTTACTACCAGCATACCTCAGTTTTTGCTGCTGTTCTAGGAGGATGAACATATTTTCTTCATCTCTGCTCTGCAAAAGACTAACTTATTTTTGCTAGCACTTCTTTCTTTTTTTTTTTTCAAGGAGGGGAGAAAGCTATTGGCTTTGGTTTGCTATGTTGCTCATCCCTCAGTTGGATTGCTTTGAACGTTCTGAAGGTTAAAGACCTTCCTGTGTCCTGTGAAAATAGGATTTGTGTACTCTACATAAAATCATTTTTGTTAAGTCCATTGAGCACCCCTCTGTGTTCTTGCTCATTCTCTCTGTACTGCTTTGTCACACTGGTAGTAGGAGGGGCTAAGCTGGGCTGGCCTACAGTTTTTTTATTTGCCAGTGTCCAAACCTCCTGCAGGCGGTGGTATAACTCGTATGTGAATAACCTCCTGTGTCCCACAATGGACTCACAAGAAAAGGATTTTATTGGGAGCACAAAAATCTTATATTACTGAGCCCATGAACACCTAATTATCCCCTACAAGGGATTTCTGAAACATGACATACTTTATTGCCCCTTTACTAATCCACCTTGGTTTATTTCTTACAGAGCCACAGCTATTTTAGGGTACCTTCCTCAGGAGCTTTTGGGCACTTCCTGCTATGAATACTTCCATCTAGATGACCACAACCACCTAACGGAGCAACACAAAAGCGGTAATGTCCGCCTATCACCCCATTTCTGCTGGACATTTAGCAGCCAAGCAACACATTTTATTGACTTCTGGTGTATTGGTTTTATTGACTGGTTTATTTCCGCCTCTTTGAACTGTAATATAAGTACTGTAAAATATACTCTAATTTTAGTTTTAATCAAACTTACACAAGGGCTCATAAAGTTTATGCACCAGCACTTAAAGTTGAACTATGGGCAAAAACAAATTACATACATGATGCAGCTTATCAACAGACTCAACACAGCAGTCCCCCCTGTAACATAATTTGATTATCTGTTGATCCTGCCAGTAGGTTCGTTATTGTATTGCTCGCTGTAACAGGCCAAGCTGTCCAGCAAAACTAGTAGATAGAGGGCTTGGAACAAATCATATAACACTGCCCAGGGGTCCTTGCAATGCTCAGCTTTTATTCATATGGCTTAAATCTTTTTTTACGAAAGTAAATTTGTAAAAAATAAGTCAAGGCAACTGGACTTGCTGTATTTTTCTTGAAGATGTTTCACTGGCCATCCAACCAGCTTTCTTAATTCTGAATAACTGGGCAGGTTAATAACACCTCCTAGACTCCAATTATGCAAATGCAATCTGAATTGAGAAAGCTGATAGGATGACCAGGGAAACGTCTTCAAGAAAAATACAGCAAGTCCAGTTGCTTTGACTTACTTTTTTTACAGATATACCATGACCTGGATGAATGAGAACCTTCACAGGCATATTTTTTATGAAAGGAAAAAAAAAAGAGAAAACTGTTGCTGTAACTGCCTAAAGTGTTTGCTGGGGTTAGGGTTTCATTTGTTCTTCCCTTACTTAAAGTCCATTTAAAACTACATGAACATCTAAGACTACCCTGACCACAGGGTGACAACGCTGCTGCACAATTGTGTGTTCTCACCCTGTTACAGGAAGTGGAAAATAATGGATTTACTGGCAGGATTAACAGGTAGTAAAATGTTACAGGGGGGACTCCTGAGAAAAAAAATAATTGTTGTGTAAATGTCACTGAAAGACTGCAATATATGTGTCATTTTACCCAGCGTTGCACTTTAATTCTGTGTGCCCTTTGGCTATGTGGAAATTGTATAATGTACTATTGCTGGGATTTGTAGTCCTCTATAGCTGCTGCCATTCTGCATTCATTGCTGTATAATTTTACACTTTCCATTTCACTATATTGCACACCACACCATTTTTTTACTTCCACCGCTCCAAGCTTGCTCCTGTGATGGACTACAACCTCAATACAAACTAGTAGTCCATCACTGGAGCCATTTTTTAAAATGTATTTTATTTATCCGATTAACCGATTAATCGAACTTAATAATCGGCTAACTAATCGATTTTGAAAATAATCGTTAACTGCAGCTCTAAGTAAGTCACACTGAGAGTAAGATGAATTTATTTTATTGCTCGCAAGAATGAAATATTTTATGCCCCTGATGGTCTGTATGTTTTTTTTTTGTTTTTTTTTTATACAGTTCTTCAGACCAAGGAGAAAATCATGACAAACCCGTACAAGTTCAGGGTGAAAGACGGGTCTTTCATTGTCCTGAGGAGCCAGTGGTTCAGTTTCATTAATCCGTGGACCAAAGAGCTTGAATATATTGTGTCGGTTAACACTGTGCTCTCGTAAGTCCTGTAGAATTGCAGATAATGTTCATTCAGATGTTGCGTCAGTGTTAAAAAATAATTGCACTTTTAGAAAAAGAGGCACTTTTTTTATGCACCCCTTCCCTGAACAATGCCCTCACCCTTACCTTCTGCAGATCTGTAGTCAGCGAGATCCGAGGATCACTGCTCCCCTGGTTGTTGACATCCAGTTCTGCAAGTCTCCCTCTCGGCCATGTACAACATCCCTGTTGGAGTCCATAGAAGTCTATGGGGATGTAATGTTCAGGTGCGACCAGCAGAGGGAGCGTTGCAAAGCTAGATGTAAACAATAGAAGAACTGGGCCCATCGGATCTTGGTAATTATGGATCTGTGGAGGGGGAGGATGAAATAGTTTAGGTCAGGGGTGGGGGACAAAAAAGATTACTGCACTTGTTCTTTAAAAGGTACTTGTCACGTACTTCAGTTACTAATATCGAAGTTTAAAAACGTGGCACACAGTGTTCCTGCAGATGCCTTTACTACTCAGGGTTCATGTTGTTCCAAGGCCTTTTGTTTAATCTCAGAGCTTTCCCAACTGTCCCCCCTCCCACCCCACAATCCTTTGCAAATGACCCTCAGCATTCACAGTGCTCTCATTGGAATCTAGCATGACAAGAAGGTATGACACATCTGACCATATCTGAAAGCTAGTACACTTCATATTTTTAGGAATTTGTTCAATGTAACCTAAACAACCTGTAGTTTTATTTTTTAGTTTATTGTCACTACATGTAGTTCTTCTCATTACATATGTAGAATCTGCTTCCTGCTTCATAGTAAATGTTCTTTACTGCAGGGCCAGATTAAGATCACCATGGCCTGGTGCTGAGGATTTTGGTGGGCCTTTGTATGGAAATGGCGACGGTTACCAGGGCCCTCTTCCTCCTGACCAGGCTGTTATTTGTAGTCTCTCTACAGCTTGGAGTCAGTGGTGGAGCGCCAGGGCCCGGCTGCAGCTGTGAGATTTCCCCTGACCACCTGCTCTATTGAGAACTGTAGAATTTTGGATTTCCCATCAGTAGTCACCAAGACAAATAGAGATGGTGAATCTCCCCAGAGGGGGACAGACAGTACCGTAGTTAGATACCTGAAAGGGGCTCTGACCCTTCCCTGCTCTATCCAAAACTATGAAAACATTTTGGTTAAATACATGCACTAATCATTTGAATTGAAACATTAATGTGAATATGTATTTCAAAGCCTAATTTTAGTCCATGCATGTATTCATAAAACATAGTTAGGGCCATCTTTGCCCATGACCCCAAGTAAAGCAGTCCTATAGCACAGGGGTGAGAATTGTTTTTTTGGTGTTTACTTGACATGTTTATGAGCTCATGTGTTACTGTTCTGCAGAGGCCAGGGGTCATCTCTAGAAACTGCCTCTCTCCCCGGGAGCTCTCACTCCTCAGAAGGTAAGAAGATATGTGTATTTTTTTTCTGGGTGTCTTTTTTTTTTTAATGTGAACTACCTGTGCTTATGTTCTAAACAAGCAATTAAAAACATTTTAAAACAGGCCTTCATCCACCTCTGTAGCTACAGGCATTGTGGAGAAATTCATCTTAATAGTCACAACTGAGGCAATGAAATCACATCTGCTTTCCTCTTATTTCTATGGCAGCAGGGACTTGGCAGCCCTCTAATGTAAACACACATCAGGTGTATCTAGGCTTTAAGAAACAGACTGAAACCACTTTAGAGTCTCAGTTGTAATCTTTGGAAAATTAATTAAAGTAGAACTAATTTTTATAAATTTTTTTAGACCCCCCCC